AGAAGGCTGTGAGCGGCGTCTGCAGAAGCAGGGTACGACGGTGTTTCAACGTCGAATACGCTGTATACGGGTTCTAGAAGGTACTCCTGAGGATCGATTCTGTTGGCGAGCGATAGAACCTTAAGGAGGAGGACATCGTCAAGATCGTCTATGTGTGTGCAGGATGCGACGACCTGAACAGCTGGAAGCGGTCCTGGGTTAACTGCAGATGCAAGTGCTGATGGTGTAGCCTCTGCAGTTGATGGCTCCTCCTCTCCCTCTCTCCCTCCTCGTGCTGCTACACCGGCCCTCTCTCCGCCTCTGCCTCCCCTCCCTCTCTCCCTGCCCTTCATGTCTCCCTCGCCCCTTCCCTCCCCATGCCCGGCTGCTGCTGGTTGCACTCTGCTACCTGTATCTCCTGCTGTTGCTCTTTCCGCTGCTCTTGCTGATGCGCGTGTTGCCCGTACTGACACTGCTGCGGCTATTGCTGTTGCTGCTACTTGCTCTAGTGTCGGTGCCGCTGCTACCGCGTTCGCGGCGTGTGTTATTGCAGTCTCCTCCACTCCTCTTGCTGCGACTCCGCCCCTCAATTGCCATCTGCCACTCAACCCTCCCCCACCCCCTGCAAACCCATCTTCGACTGCTGGCGCTGTCGAAGACTCCTCCGTTGCTGGGGATGCGCGCGACTCCCCTGCACCAGCAGCAGCAGCCGCGGCAGCCACAGTCGCATTACCAACAGCAGCACCACCAGCAGCACCACCGGCAACACCACCAGCAGCACCACAAGCACCCCCACCAGCAGCACCACCAGCGGCGCCACCGACAACACCACCAGCAGCACCACCAGCGGCACTACCAGCAGCATCACCGGCAACACCACCAGCAACACCACAAGCAGCACCGCCAGCAGCACCACCAGCGGCACCACCGGCAACACCGCCAGCAGCACCACCAGCATCACCACCGGCAACACCACCAGCAGCACCACCGGCGACACCACCAGCAGCACCACCGGCAACAACACCGGCAGCACCACCAGCAGCACCACCAGCGGCACCACCAGCAGCATCACCGGCAACACCACCAGCAGCACCACAAGCAACATCACCGGCAACACCACCAGCAGCACCACAAGCAGCACCACCAGCAGCACCACCAGCGGCACCACCGGCAACACCACCAGCAGCACCACCAGCATCACCACAGGCAACACCACCAGCAGCACCACCAGCAGCACCACCAGCAGCACCTCCGGCGGCACCACCAGCAGCATCACTGGCTCCGACACCCTGAAACACAAACTTCGTTGAACTCGTGAACCTTTGCTTCTTCATTCCCCAACCGCCATCGTTTTGTTGGCGATCCATAGCACGCGCTGCTCTGAGAGCCCGAGGGGGAAGGGAGACGGTGCAAGGGGGATGAGGGTTTCAAACCGGTAATCGGCAGCAGAGGATGCGAGCGGAGGAACGAAGACGCTACAAGCGCCACCGAAATTCCACAAGCCCGCTCACCCTTTCTCCCACCTCTATCACACACTCGCCGCAACCGCGTCACCCGTCCCTCCCGGCGTCATCCCTCCCTCCCTTTCCACATACTTGGTCGGGCGCGGACTACGTTCTCGGGTGGAGCGATGGGCGGCGGGGCCAGGCGCCGACGTCCGTTATGCGACGGCGACGACGAAAGCGTCGGCGGCGTCCATGGCGCTGGGGACGGCCGGCGGCGTCGGGCGCTGGACGTGCACTTTCGACGGCCGGGGTGAGGTTCTAGAGCGGGATGCGTGGCTCGCCCGATCCGCGGAAGTCCAAAATATAAATATTTACTCTTCGCGACCTAAACCAATATATACCGGAGTACGTGTGACCCATGAAATGTCGGGAACCCTTAGTTCATCATTCTCGTTTCAGTTTTTCTCAATGCGAACCTCACGCGATTAGCTATAATGCCGAACGCAAACCAAACTGATCAAACAACATAAATGCCCATTCCGAACCTGAAACCAACCAAAATGTAAAAAATGCACCTCTGATGAAGCCCTGTAGGGTTTTGTAGCGTTTCGACTTTGGACGAATAAGAGTAGATGCGTTACACACCCATACGAAGGGACAAAACAGTATTAGGGACTCTACACCAGCATACGAAATGTTGTTGTGTGACTTTGTCGTTTATAAAAATGATACGAAACGGTAAGGTAGAAGGTTTAAATTTTGTTGTGGGCAAACTCTTTACTACAGGTATACGCGTCTCCCTAGTTTCAGTATCAGTGTATCTCACATGCTACAGTGAGGTAACAAGAATGACGGCTGAGAGTTTTGCTCTGCTTTTTTTGGTGAAGGGGGGATTGTCTTTTGTTTCAAATGGTCGCATGGAAGTGCGATACTGCCGGAGGTGTTTTCTATGTGTGGTAGCTGTCCATGCCTGAGGGGCTCGTTTGGCTTTTGCGTTGACGAACTGAGGTTTCGTCTGTGTTCTCCAAACTGCTCGTCACAAATCTCGCCTATCTGTTACCCAATCATAGCCGCTTTAGCCCAACCAAGTGTAATACACTAGGAAATATGAGACGCGGGTTTTAACCAGAGCAAATTGCGAGCATGGAGCCGATCTCGGGCTGCCTTGAAAATGACGCAAGAGGCCCGTTTCGGGCTTGCTTGCCCTCCCGTGCAACAGGACTCGACAATATTCACCAAAAGCCTTTAACCATCACCCATTCCACCCTGGGGCTGCTTCCAGCGTGTTTGATGGATCAAGTTTACCGTGCCAACGTCCACCCCCATTCTTCTTCCTCGCCCATGCACCCTACTACTCACTCCAAGCCTCACCTTCGACGGGTGTGAAACACAACATTTCACACATACGCTTGATAATCCATACGTACTTTAGCATAGGGTTTAAGTCGCGAAGCCTAGAATATTAGAGTGACGTGTACTGCCGCGTATGTGGCGACCACAGCGTCCATCTGTTCCCCTTACACATTCAGTGCCCGACGCCGCCGCCCCGTCCCATCGCCGTGGACGTCGTCGTTTCTTTCGTCGTAGGGGGCGCATCGCAGTCGCCGTCGCATAACTGTCGTCGGCGCCATCGCCATCGCCGTCGGGGGTTGCCTGGCGCCGTCGCCGTCGCCGTCGGGGTTTTCCCGCCGCCATCGCCGTCGCCGTTGGGGTTTGCACGGCGCCATCACCATCGCCGTCGCCGTCGCCCATCGCTCCACCAGACATCGTAGCCCGCTCCCACCGGGTATGAGGAAAGGGAGGTATGGGTGACGCGGCGGTTGCGGCGGGTGTGTTGGAGAGGAAGGGTGGGATAGGGGGAGTGGAACAAAAGGGACGGAGGGCTTGGGAGGGATGCCGACGTTTTAGGGTGCGAGGGGGCCTGTGGGAGTCCGTTGACGCGTGTAGCGTCCTCGTTAACCCGCCCGCGTCCGATACTGCGAGTGATCCGCTTGACGCCCTCCTCTCCCTCGCACCCTCTCCCCTCCCCCTCAAATCAGGGCAGCGCGTGCCATGAACCACCGACGAAACGATGGCGGTCGGGGAACGAAGAAGCAGAGATACTCTAGTCCAAACGGATCCGTGTTTCAGAATGCCAGGGCAAGTTATGCTGCTGGTGTTGCTGCGGCCTTGGCGGCTGCTGCTGCTGACAATGGTGCTGGTGGTGCTGCTGGTGGTGCAAAAGAGTCGCCCACATCATCAGCAAGTGAGGAGTATAGTGAAACGGCACCCACCGTCGAGGATGGGGTTGCAGGGGGGGAGGGAGGATTGAATGGCAGGGCGCGAAGGAGGGGGGGAGCCGCAGCAAGAAGAGGAGAGGGGGCGGCAGCAACGGCAGCTGTCGCGAAAGCGGCACCAGCGGCATCGGCAACAGAGGCAGCAGCAGCAACAGCGGTGAGATCACTAGCAACACGCGCGTCAGAAAGAGCAGCACCGAGAGCAGCAACAGGAGAGCCAGGCAGCAGGCTGCAGCCAGAGGCAGCGGGGGATGGGGAGAGCAGGGGCGAGGGATATTTGAATGGCATGGCACGCGGGAGGGGGGGCATGGGGACGGGAGGCAGGGGGAGAGGGACGGGAGGCAGGGGAAGAGGGCTGAGCGTAGTGGTAGCAGCTGCACCACCACGAGGAGGGGCGGCGGCAACAACAGCAGACGCACCAGGGGCCGCACCAGCGGCATCGGCACGAGGGGAAGCAAAAGCAGAAGCAGCTGTGACGGCAAGAGCAACACGCACATCCACACAAGCAGCAGCAACAGAGCCAGGCAGCAGACGGCAACCAGCGGCAGCGGGGCATGGGGAGGGAAGGGGCGAGGTAGATCTGAAGGGCGCAGCACGAGGGAGGGGGGACAGGGGGAGAGGGAACGGAGGCAGGGGAAGAGGGAAGGGCGGAGTTGCAGCGGCAGCAGGAGGAGTAGAGGAGGCGGCAACAACAGCAGACGCAGCAGGGGCCGCACCAGCGGCATCGGTGCCAGGGGAAGCAGCAGCAGCAGCAGGGGTGACGGCAAGAGCAACACACGCATCCACAGCAGCAAGAGCGAGGCATGGGGAGGGGTGGGACGAGGAAGATCTGAAGGGCAGGGGACGAGGGAGAGGAGGCAGGGGGACAAGTAGGGGCGGAGAAGTGGCGAGACGAGGAGGAGGAGGAGGAGGAGGAGGAGGAGGAGGAGGAGGAGGAGGGTTAGGAGGAGGAGGAGGAGGAGGAGGAGGAGGAGGAGGAGGAGGAGGAGGAGGAGGAGGAAGAGGAGGAGAGGAGGCGGCATCAACACAAGACGCCTCAGAGTCTGCAACATCGGAGGCCGCCGTCCCTCCCCTCGATCCGACCTCGTCCATAAATGATCTTCCCAATGACCTCCTCGTCAAAGTTTTATCGCTCGCCAACCGCCTCGATCCTGAAGTGTCCTTTCCAGAACCAGAATACAGCATATTCGACGTTGAAGGACCGTCATACCCTGCTCGTGCAAACATCGCTCACAGCCTCCTCATCGCGTCCATCTGCCGTCGGTGGCGAGGCCTCGCTCGGGAGCACGTGTCGACGCTGATGGTCAAAGTAGGCCAACTCGTTAGGCTCGAGGAGCTCATAAGGGCCGTCGCACTCTTTCGCAACCTCACGCACCTGCATCTAGCCAACGAGAGCGTGCAGATCCTCACCGACGACTTCCTGGTTCACCTTGCCTCGTGGTGCCCCAAACTCAAAGGGGTGCACTTTGCGCCAGAGAGTCCATGCTACTTTTGGAGACGCGAAGAGTGGAAGGACAGATTTTTGGTGACTGCGCCTGGGCTGGACTCCTTCTTCCGTGGCTGCCCGCAGCTGGAGCAGCTGACCCTTCCTCGTTCAGAGCATGGCTACAGTCTACCAGCGTCGTTCTTTCAGCTCCCGAATCCGCGCTTTCTTTTTCTCTCCGACGCCTCTGTGCTGTTGGATCCCAGGCTGGCGCATCTCTCTAACCTCTCAATGCTCACCATTCGGAGCAAGTTCTTAGGTGTGGACCACCTCTTAGCTCTCACTCAGCTCACCGCCCTCACCAGACTATCCTCCTATCGTACTGACATTAGCTTCAAAATCAACGGATCGTCCTCCTCGTTCGCGCTCCTATCGTCCCTCCGATCTCTCCAGTGCAGACTACTGAAGAGACTGTGGCTCTCACACTGCATTGATCTCAAGCGCATTCCTGACGGCATCCAAGGCTTGTTGCCTTCTCTTGAAGAGCTGCGCCTCACTTGTTGCTACGTGTTAACTGATCTGAGTGACGGATTCGCAACCCTGAGCAGCTTGCACAACCTTAAGATTAGCGATTGCCGACTTGCTGTATTGCCAGAAAATTTTAGGGAGCTGGCCGCCCTGAAGAGATTGGCGCTGGAGGACCTGCCACTCTCAGGTCTTCCCAGCTCCTTCAGCCAGCTCACGTCTCTGGAGTCCCTTCACGTGGCTCAATGCGAGATCCGCCACCTTCCTTCCGGATTCACTTCCCTGTGCAGCTTGCACAGCCTGAACATCTCCTGTTGCCCTCTTGCTATCCTGCCATCAGATTTGGGGAGCTGCCCGCCCTGAAGGTATTGGAGCTTGAGGACCTGCCACTCACAGTTCTCCCAGAATCCTTCAGCCAGCTCGCGTCTTTGGAGTCCTTCCACGTGGTTCGATGCAAGATCCGGCAGCTGCCATCTGGAATCACTACTCTCCCCTCACTCAAGTCGTTGCGCCTGGAGGGTATGGAGGATTTTAACATTTGAACGGGAAGGGCGTACAGAAGGGGCATGGAGCATACTCATTGGGCTTAAGAGAACATATTGGGGGGGTAAGCGGTTGATGCCAAACATGAATTCCCTGGCATGAAAAAGTGTAGGTACAGGTCCCAAAAGTTATTGAAAAAGTGTAGGTACAGGTCCCAAAAGTTATTGAAAAAGTGTAGGTAGAGGTCCCAAAAGTTATTGAAAAAGTGTAGGTACAGGTCGCAAGGGGCGTGTCTCTGAGGCATGCGAGAAGCAGCAGGGCGTGGTTGGTGCGGACAGTGCTGCCCGTGAGGGGAAGACGCAAGACGAGTCAATGGCTCGTGAGAATGGGACGGAGACAGTGGGTGGAGAGGGGGGGCAAGGAGTGGAAGAATTCTTGGGGCAAGGGGCAGGGGGAGGGGAGGAGAGAAGAACGGGAGAGGCGGCGGCGAGGGGGCAAGGAGAAAGCGTGGCACAGGCATCAGCGGCAGCAGCTGCTGGAGGAGGTCGCTCGGATATAGTGCGCAACAAGCAGACCTCACAGTTCGACACCTCAGCGAGAGTGGCAGTGGACGTACCAGGAGTAACCGCTCCTGCTGCCGAGACGATCGCCGAGGCACTAGCTTCTGAAATGGCAGGCGATGTGGCAATAGCCATTGCTTCGAGGCTTGGTGGGACCCAGAAAATGCCAGGTTCTGCTGCCCAGGATCAGAGCAGGTGGAAGGAGGACGGGAGATGCAGTCGAGGGAAGGATGGGAAGGGTGTTCTCAAGCACAGAGATGTGCTCTTCAAGTCGTCCCGATGCGTGGCGGCGCCAGGATTGAGTGAGGGTCCAGAAGAGGAGGAGCTGGAGTTTGAGGTGGTGGTGGTTGGGAGGAGGAGGAAGATCACAGGGACCCTTGTTGACACGCCCACGGCAACCCCAAGGGAAGGCATGGGCCGTGCCGGGAGTGATGGTGAGGAGGGTGTTTTGCAAGAAAGGGCGCATGCTGCAAGTGAGTGGGAAAAACGTGCCCGTGGGCTAAAGCATGAAGGGAGAAGCCGGCACGAGAAAGAGAAGACTGAAAAAACTCTGTTTGTCTGAAAGAGAAGCCGGGCGCGGGCGCGGGCGCGGGCGCAGGCGCGAAGGCGACGGGCGGGCGCGGGGGCGACGGGCGGGGGCGCGAAGGCGACGGGCGGGCGCGGGGGCGACGGGCGGGGGCGCGAAGGCGACGGGCGGGCGCGGGGGCGACGGGCGGGGCGCGGGCGCGGGGGCGACGGGGGGCGCGGGCGCGGGGGCGACGGGGGGGCGCGGGCGCGGGGGCGACGGGGGGGCGCGGGCGCGGGGGCGACGGGGGGGGCGCGGGCGCGGGGGCGACGGGGGGGCGCGGGCGCGGGGGCGGCGGGGGGGCGCGGGCGCGGGGGCGGCGGGGGGGCGCGGGCGCGGGGGCGGCGGGGGGGCGCGGGCGCGGGGGCGGCGGGGGGGCGCGGGCGCGGGGGCGGCGGGCGGGCGCGGGCGCGGGGGCGACGGGCGGGCGCGGGCGCGGGGGCGACGGGCGGGCGCGGGCGCGGGGGCGACGGGCGGGCGCGGGCGCGGGGGCAACGGGCGGGGGCGGGCGCGGGGGCAACGGGCGGGCGCGGGCGCGGGCGCGACGGGCGGGCGCGGGCGCGGGGGCGACGGGCGGGCGCGGGCGCGGGCGCGACGGGCGGGCGCGGGCGCGGGGGCGACGGGCGGGCGCGGGCGCGGGCGCGGGGGGCGACGGGCGGGCGCGGGCGCCGGCGCGGGCGCGGGGGCGACGGGCGGGCGCGGGCGCGGGCGCGGGCGCGGGGGCGACGGGCGGGCGCGGGCGCGGGCGCGGGCGCGGGGGCGACGGGCGGGCGCGGGCGCGGGCGCGAAGGCGACGGGCGGGCGCGGGCGCGGGCGCGGGCGCGGGCGCGAAGGCGACGGGCGGGCGCGGGCGCGGGCGCGGGCGCGGGCGCGAAGGCGACGGGCGGGCGCGGGCGCGGGCGCGGGCGCGGGCGCGAAGGCGACGGGCGGGCGCGGGCGCGGGCGCGGGCGCGGGCGCGAAGGCGACGGGCGGGCGCGGGCGCGGGCGCGGGCGCGGGCGCGAAGGCGACGGGCGGGCGCGGGCGCGGGCGCGGGCGCGGGCGCGAAGGCGACGGGCGGGCGCGGGCGCGGGCGCGGGCGCGAAGGCGACGGGCGGGCGCGGGCGCGGGCGCGGGCGCGGGTGCGAAGGCGACGGGCGGGCGCGGGCGCGGGCGCGGGTGTCAGAATAATATATAATTTTATATATTGTTTTGTAACTGCCTGTAGTGTAGATTACTGTAGTTATACAATGTTCTGTTTTGGTGGTGCACCTTTCATTTTGCCTATATGTACTGCTCGCTCTATAGTGAAACCATTTCTTCTCTTCCAATTTCTCGACTCTCCTAAACTTACTCGAACTCAACCATGGCTCCTAAGCCTACCCATTGCTAGTATCTTGACAGCGGGCGCGGGCGCGGGCGCGGGCGCGGGCGCGGAGGCGACGGGCGGGCGCGGGCGCGGGCGCGGGCGCGGGCGCGGAGGCGACGGGCGGGCGCGGGCGCGGGCGCGGGCGCGGGCGCGGAGGCGACGGGCGGGCGCGGGCGCGGGCGCGGGCGCGGGCGCGGAGGCGACGGGCGGGCGCGGGCGCGGGCGCGGGCGCGGGCGCGGAGGCGACGGGCGGGCGCGGGCGCGGGCGCGGGCGCGGGCGCGGAGGCGACGGGCAGGCGCGGGCGCGGGCGCGGGCGCGGGCGCGGAGGCGACGGGCGGGCGCGGGCGCGGGCGCGGGCGCGGGCGCGGGCGCGGAGGCGACGGGCGGGCGCGGGCGCGGGCGCGGGCGCGGGCGCGGGCGCGGAGGCGACGGGCGGGCGCGGGCGCGGAGGGCGCGGGCGCGGGCGCGGAGCGCGGGCGGGCGCGGGCGCGGGCGCGGGCGCGGGCGCGGAGGCGACGGGCGGGCGCGGGCGCGGGCGCGGGCGCGGGCGCGGAGGCGACGGGCGGGCGCGGGCGCGGGCGCGGGCGCGGGCGCGGAGGCGACGGGCGGAGCGCGGGCGCGGGCGCGGGCGCGGGGCGCGGAGGCGACGGGCGGGCGCGGGCGGCGGGCGCGGGGCGCGGGCGCGGAGGCGACGGGCGGGGCGCGGGCGCGGGCGCGGGCGCGGGCGCGGAGGCGACGGGCCGGGCGGGCCGGGCGCGGGCGCGGGCGCGGGGCGCGGAGGCGACGGGCGGGCGCGGGCGCGGGCGCGGGCGCGGGCGCGGAGGCGACGGGCGGGCGCGGGCGCGGGCGCGGGCGCGGGCGCGGAGGCGACGGGCGGGAGCGCGGGCGCGGGCGCGGGCGCGGGGCGCGGAGGCGACGGGCGGGCCGGGGCGCGGGCGCGGGCGCGGGCGCGGGGCCGGAGGCGACGGCGGGGCGCGTGCGCGGGCGCGGGCGCGGGCGCGGAGGCGACGGGCGGGCGCGGGCGCGGGCGCGGGCCGCGGGCGCGAGGCGACGGGCGGGGCCGCGGGCGCGGGCGCGGGCGCGGGCGCGGAGGCGACGGGCGGGCGCGGGCGCGGGCGCGGGCGCGGGCGCGGAGGCGACGGGCGGGCGCGGGCGCGGGCGCGGGCGCGGGCGCGGAGGCGACGGGCGGGCGCGGGCGCGGGCGCGGGCGCGGGCGCGGAGGCGACGGGCGGGCGCGGGCGCGGGCGCGGGCGCGGGCGCGGAGGCGACGGGCGGGCGCGGGCGCGGGCGCGGGCGCGGGCGCGGAGGCGACGGGCGGGCGCGGGCGCGGGCGCGGGCGCGGGCGCGGGCGCGGAGGCGACGGGCGGGCGCGCGGCGCGGGCGCGGGCGCGGAGGCGACGGGCGGGCGCGGGCGCTGGCGCGGAGGCGACGGGCGGGCGCGGGCGCGGGCGCGGAGGCGACGGGCGGGCGCGGGCGCGGGCGCGGGCGCGGGCGCGGAGGCGACGGGCGGGCGCGGGCGCGGGCGCGGGCGCGGGCGCGGAGGCGACGGGCGGGCGCGGGCGCGGGCGCGGAGGCGACGGGCGGGCGCGGGCGCGGGCGCGGGCGCGGGCGCGGAGGCGACGGGCGGGCGCGGCGCGGGCGCGGGCGCGGAGGCGACGGGCGGGCGCGGGCGCGGGCGCGGGCGCGGAGGCGACGGGCGGGCGCGGGCGCGGGCGCGGGCGCGGGCGCGGAGGCGACGGGCGGGCGCGGGCGCGGGCGCGGAGGCGACGGGCGGGCGCGGGCGCGGGCGCGGGCGCGGGCGCGGAGGCGACGGGCAGGCGCGGGCGCGGGCGCGGGCGCGGGCGCGGAGGCGACGGGCGGGCGCGGGCGCGGGCGCGGGCGCGGAGGCGACGGGCGGGCGCGGGCGCGGGCGCGGGCGCGGGCGCGGAGGCGACGGGCGGGCGCGGGCGCGGGCGCGGGCGCGGAGGCGACGGGCGGGCGCGGGCGCGGAGGCGACGGGCGGGCGCGGGCGCGGGCGCGGGCGCGGGCGCGGAGGCGACGGGCGGGCGCGGGCGCGGGCGCGGGCGCGGGCGCGGAGGCGACGGGCGGGCGCGGGCGCGGGCGCGGAGGCGACGGGCGGGCGCGGGCGCGGGCGCGGGCGCGGGCGCGGAGGCGACGGGCGGGCGCGGGCGCGGGCGCGGGCGCGGAGGCGACGGGCGGGCGCGGGCGCGGGCGCGGGCGCGGGCGCGGAGGCGACGGGCGGGCGCGGGCGCGGGCGCGGGCGCGGGCGCGGGCGCGGAGGCGACGGGCGGGCGCGGGCGCGGGCGCGGGCGCGGGCGCGGAGGCGACGGGCGGGCGCGGGCGCGGGCGCGGGCGCGGAGGCGACGGGCGGGCGCGGAGGCGACGGGCGGGCGCGGAGGCGACGGGCGGGCGCGGAGGCGACGGGCGGGCGCGGGCGCGGGCGCGGGCGCGGGCGCGGAGGCGACGGGCGGGCGCGGGCGCGGGCGCGGGCGCGGGCGCGGAGGCGACGGGCGGGCGCGGGCGCGGGCGCGGGCGCGGGCGCGGAGGCGACGGGCGGGCGCGGGCGCGGGCGCGGAGGCGACGGGCGGGCGCGGGCGCGGGCGCGGGCGCGGGGGCGCGGAGGCGACGGGCGGGGCGCGGGCGCGGGCGCGGAGGCGACCGGGCGGGGCCGCGGGCGCGGGCGCGGAGGCGACGGGCGGGGCGCGGCGCGGGCGCGGGCGCGGGCGCGGGAGGCGACGGCGCGGGCGCGGGCGCGGGCGCGGAGGCGACGGCGGCGCGGGCGCGGGCGCGGGCGCGGGCGGGAGGGCGCGGGCGGGCGCGGGCGCGGGGCGCGGAGGCGACGGGCGGGCGCGGGCGCGGGGCGCCGGGCGCGGAGGCGACGGGCGGAGGCGCGGGCGCGGGGCGCGGGCGCGTGCGCGGAGGCGACGGGCGGGCGCGGGGCGGGCGCGGGCGCGGGCGCGGAGGCGACGGGCGGGCGCGGGCGCGGGCGCGGGGCGCGGGCGCGGAGGCGACGGGCCGGGCGCGGGCGCGGGCGCGGGCGCGGGCGCGGGCGCGGAGGCGACGGGCGGGCAGCGGGCGCGGGCGCGGGGCCGCGGGCGCGGAGGCGACGGGCGGGCGCGGGCGCGGGCGCGGGCGCGGGCGCGGAGGCGACGGGCGGGCGCGGGCGCGGGCGCGGGCGCGGAGGCGACGGGCGGGCGCGGAGGCGACGGGCGGGCGCGGAGGCGACGGGCGGGCGCGGAGGCGACGGGCGGGCGCGGGCGCGGGCGCGGGCGCGGGCGCGGAGGCGACGGGCGGGCGCGGGCGCGGGCGCGGGCGCGGGCGCGGAGGCGACGGGCGGGCGCGGGCGCGGGCGCGGGCGCGGGCGCGGAGGCGACGGGCGGGCGCGGGCGCGGGCGCGGAGGCGACGGGCGGGCGCGGGCGCGGGCGCGGGCGCGGGCGCGGAGGCGACGGGCGGGCGCGGGCGCGGGCGCGGAGGCGACGGGCGGGCGCGGGCGCGGGCGCGGAGGCGACGGGCGGGCGCGGGCGCGGGCGCGGGCGCGGGCGCGGAGGCGACGGGCGGGCGCGGGCGCGGGCGCGGAGGCGACGGGCGGGCGCGGGCGCGGGCGCGGGCGCGGGCGCGGGCGCGGAGGCGACGGGCGGGCGCGGGCGC